TTTGGGTCAGTAGCTCTAATAAAAGAAAATCTCTCCATAATAACACTAATCCCTTCAAATCCCAGTACATCAGCCAGCAGGAGATTATTTGATATTTTCCTGTGGTATTCACAAAATAGCAGCTCTGAACCAAAAGAGTGTTCTGTGGAAATTCATTCTATATAGAACCTTAAAGGAGAGTCAAAGCAAAGAAAAAAAGAAAACCTGTAGGGTTTATAGAGTATATCATTTTATTTTTACTCATTTGGGACATGTTTGAAAGAAAATGCAGTAATTTAGGATTTTATGACTCATTTGCTGGATAAATACTAAAATAATACTTCACTGCAAATAAGTATAACAGATCATTTTGCTTGAAATACGTTTAATTATCTGTCAAGCTTAAAAGGTTAAAAATTGTAAATAATAATAATAATAATAATAATAAATAATAATAAAAAAAATGTCTGAACATATGCTATATGTTTTATAATAATCCCATAAAGAATATATAGAAAAATATATTTACACTAAAATAAAATCCTAATGTGCTAAGAAATAATCTACGTGATTTTCTGTGTTTTTTTTTTTTTTTTGTGTGTGTGTGTGTGTGTGTGTGTGTGTGTGTGTGTGTGTGTGTGTGTGTGTGTGTGTGTGTGTGTGTGTGTGTGTGTGTGTGTGTGTGTGTGTGTGTGTTAGGTGCGGATATGGGAAATTCCAGACGGTGGCCTGAGAAGGAGCATGACTGAAGCTATATTGGAGTTGTATGGTCACAGTAGACGAGTGGGTCTTATAGAATGGCACCCGACCAGCAGCGGCATCCTGTTTAGCGCAGGATATGACTACAAGGTGTACTGAGACACTATATATATATATATATTGGCAAGCACAAATTTGAGTGATGGTGCACAAAGAAGTCTGCATCTGATTTATTAAATTGTCCTACTATGACATCCAAATGAGTGTTGATGGAGTGTTGCATGGAAACTACCTCCTATTGATCCTTTATACATTCATACTTTATTCATTACGCTAACCTTAATGAAATAATTCAGCCTAAAATAAAACTAAAATAAGAAGAAGCAAATCTATCTTGGCTGATCCATTCACGTTCTTGTTCACGGTTAGAGGAACACTCTGTACATTTTGCACAGTGATAACAATTTAATCATTCATACAAATTGGCTCACGGGATTTTGCAGCTTAATTTGGAAGTTATTTATTGAATCTAAAATTCAGCCTTCATCTTTTACTTATAGATCCTGATCTGGAACCTGGAGATTGGAGAACCAGTGAAGATGATCGATTGCCACACAGATGTGATCCTCTGCATGTCGTTCAACACTAATGGAAGCCTGCTGGCCACCAGCTGCAAGGACAAGAAACTGCGCCTCATCGAACCCCGCTCAGGCCAAGTGCTACAGGTGAGTCCCTTAATAACCACTAAGATCATTGATAGCACATTTACACAGACTCCAAAAGACAAAGAACCTTGATGAATTAACTTAGTGTCTAAAGATCTCACCTCAGAAGAGTTTATAATAGTTTCCATTCAAAATACATAATGCCAGTCGTGTTGCGCACCTGCTTATTTCTCCACTCAGATTATGCAAATTATTTACATATAGCATCTTTAAGCAAAAGCACTTGCCTTTAAACTCAGGATAGGAAATGCGAACTGATGAAGGAAGTAGTGCCCTACCCCCCCCCCCCGTCTGTCAATTGTAATAAAATGTAACTTAAAAGTAAGAGACAATTTCAAAATGAGAAATATAAAAGACTAAACTAATATATGATTGAGAAGTTGACAGAGTTTGAAATAAATGTCTAATAGGAGTCTAGAAATATTGCTATTATATTGTTGGATGAATGGTCCTAGTTGTAATTATCGCATTAATTAAACCAAATGGAACAATATGGCGTCCACCCTAATTATTCAGCAGCTTATAAAATAGCACGAGATCCAGCATATCCTATTATTTCCCATTTTATTATTATTTATATATTGTGCACAGAGCTTAACGCCATTTTCCTGTGCAATGCATACAAACCTAAAACCGTCCTTATGTGTATCATGACTGCAAATTGTCTCTTATTTGAAGTGATATTGAAGAATCTTTTAAAACCTTTGGTAATACTACATTTGGTTTTCATGCATGTTGGAATGTACTCTTAATTCTCTGTACTTCCTCAAACAGTTTACTTTCTTTTAGCAATACCTTTATCCTCATTGATGATTCAGGACATAAGCAGCATTTATCTATACGAATTCATTTTATTATTCCTTTCAATTATTTAAGGGCTGTGTGTGTGTGTGGGTGGGGGGGGGGGTGTGAAAAAAAAAAAAATTATTTTTTTTTTTTGTGTGTGCGCGGTTTTTCGCATTCTCCGAGCAGGAGGCAAGCTGCAAGAACCACAAAGTAAACCGTGTTGTGTTCCTGGGCAACATGAAACGACTCCTAACAACGGGGGTGTCCCGCTGGAACACACGACAGATTGCACTCTGGGATCAGGTGAGGAGACTATCCACTATTTGTAGAGGGTGTGTTTGTGTGTGTGTGTGTGTGTGTGTGTGTGTGTGTGTGTGTGTGTGTGTGGGGGGGCTGATTCAAAGCACAAACCCAGACCTTCCATAAATATACATTCCCTGGTGTCTATAGCCCACTGAAGTTCACACACCAGTACAATCATTATGGTTTCTACTTAAAGGTTTTATGTGATCACAGTGATCACATGGTGCAGGGTTGAACAATAAATAAAAGATCACATGACCAACGATGGTGTTTTTGTATTACTAGTGTTTATAGTGCACACGTATCAATCATATTCATACTCTGTATTGAATGAAGGATTTCATTTAGTAGTGTCCCATTTAGTCTTCTTTGTTTTGCATGATGTTTTTATAGTCTAGTGAACCCATTATATCTCTGACCCTCAGGAGGATCTGTCCATGCCAATAATAGAGGAGGAGATAGATGGCCTCTCCGGGTTGCTCTTCCCTTTCTATGATGCAGACACACACATGCTGTATCTGGCAGGCAAGGTGAGGAGATTATCACTACTGAGGTGCGATGTTTATACTTCTTCACTGTAGTGCGATTCCAGGCTTGTACCACTGTTTAGAACTGGTGTGAAGGTAATGGAGTTGGTCTAGACATTTACATCTGATCTGAATGATGAATGGATGTTTTCAGTTCATATTTGCATGCTTTCATTTTATGTGAAGTCTCAACTAAATGACATATGAGGGTTATTTCAGGGTGATGGTAACATTCGCTACTATGAAGTGACTACAGAGAAGCCTTACATGCAGTACCTCATGGAGTTCAGGTCCCCTGCACCTCAGAAAGGACTCGGTAATGTCAGGTTGTGTAGATCTAAAAAAAAAATCCCATAATTACTTCTGTGTATGCTGATATTTCTTTATTTTACTATCCTTGCTATTGTTCTGTTGGAAGACTTAATTTTCCCGAAGTACAGTTTAATAATGCTTTATCATTTCTTAAATCACAACTGTCCACTTTTGTGTGTTAGGTATTATGCCGAAACATGGCTTGGATGTGGCATCCTGTGAAGTCTTTAGGTTCTATAAGCTCGTAACACTGAAAGGATTGATTGAGCCCATCTCCATGATCGTGCCTAGAAGGGTGAGCAAAAACAAAACAACTATCTGTTAGGGGTGGGGAAAGCAAATGTTTGCTATACAGTATATAGAAGAGAATTTAATGTGTGCTGGACAAAATGTTTATGTTGGGGCATTTTAGTTGAGTGGTTAAAACAAAGCATGCCCATCTTTGCAACAAAGACAATGACATCTACCCAAGCCTTTTAGTTATAAACTTACATTAACATTACAATCATAAAGCCTTGATTTAATGTACACCAGCTACCATAAAGGATAACTTATTAATTTTTTCCAATGAAACTCATGTGTGTCACATCATCACCTTTATGATGATGACACAGAAATACTGTACAAAGTCAGTTGTCTTAAGAGTTTAACACAAATCAGCCTGGAAAGTGTTATAACATATCATTTAAAAGAAAGATCCATGCCAAAAGAATCCTGAGAGACAACTATACATCTGTTGGAATAAGCCTGCATATAGGTTTATGTCAGCTGTTATGAAGGGCTTATGTGTTGTTATGCAGCTCTATGAACACTGCCCTTAAGTTGTGTTAGCACTTAATTAAAAACCAAATGGTGAGGACTGGCACAGGCTTCCTCTGAAGAATATGCTACATGTTGTTGTATGTTAATGACCTACAGATCATTTGCATACATCTGCCACATGGCCTATTTTATGATGGTGTAAATGCTTTCTAGGAATAATCGACATATGACAGGGATTCAAACCCAAATGTTAAATCCCAGCAGTAAACATCAAGTCCACAGTGCCAGGCAGCACATTTCTTAGTTACATCACTGAAAGAGATTTCATTTTTCAATATATCTTTCTCCTACAATTAAACAACAGTCACCCTGCCCCTCTGAAAATAAGGCTATAATTGTCCAACATCATGGGGTAACAGGCAGTCAATTGGGTGGGCCTCGTGTGAAGACTACAATGTCTGTCTACATGTTTATCAGTGCAGTGAACAAACCTCTAGTATGTAATTATACTGACTCACGGAGTCTGTCTCACTTTCTGATCATTACACACACAGTGATGTTAATGTTAGGGTAAAGCTCATCACACACACATATACACATTCATACAACAAAACACATTGAAAATCATTTGGGAGTGGTAAACCTGAAAGTCTCAGTTCCCAAAAGCTTTGAAAAGTGGATAGGAGTAAATATAAATATATCCTTCCAACTGTGCTGAGTTATGTCCTCTTAACTCACTACTCTGTAAAATCACCAGTATTGTATCCAACATAAGGTATTTTCCTATATAGCAGTGTGTCATGTCACCTTATACAACAGATAATTGAATCCTTAAATACTTGAATCTGATTGGTCAGAAGGTGTTGATTAATTTTCTATAACTGGGAATATGAAAATGGTGCCAGAGGGCAAGGTGGATTAGTGGTTAGTACATTTGTCTCACACTTCCAAGATTGGGGGTTCAAATCATGCCTCTGCCTTGCATGCTCTCCCCATGTTTCAGGGGTTTCCTCCGGGTCCTCCGGTTTCCTCCCTCAGTCCAAAGACAAGCATGGTAGGCAGAATGGCATGTCCGAAGTGTATGAATGGGTGTGTGAATGTGTATGCTCGGAAGGAGCCTCCCCTGGCACACCTTGGGCAACTTTCAGTATCATACTGCTGAGCGGCTAATCCTTCCACCACGATGGTTCCACTATGAAGTGGAACCTCGACACGAAAAGAAGAAGAGAAGACCTGCGCTGTAGGCTGTATGGCAATTTCAAATTGTCAGTAGTCTGTGAGCATGTGTGCGGTTTTGCCCTGTAATGGGTTGGCACCCTGTCCAGAGTGCCCCCCCCCTTTGCCCCGAGTTCCCTGGTATAGGCTCCAGGCACCCCCATGACACTGTGTAGGATATTCCAACAGTATGGAAAATGGATGGCTGGATAGACAATGGAGCCAGCTATAATACAAATGGTAGGGTTATAAGCACTCATTCTAATAGTTACATTCTTAGAGATTTGCATGGCAGACACATAATCCCAGCCTAATATTCTATGGATTCAAAACCATGTCACTTAACCAAGAAAAGTACGTATTCTTTGATGTGGTGATGAGATGTTTATTTAAAAGGAGTCTCCAGTGTCAGCACTTTGACAGTCTGTAAGTCCACCATGTGACAGATGATATTGCTCTTTCTGGTTTCTTGGTAGCATGAAAAGCTTTAGTGTTATTCAGTTCAAGAAAGAAGAGATGAGGGAATGACTGTTGTTAAGTTGTTTCATGGACATCCCACAAAATAACTATAATGTAACTATGAAAGTATGACATGTTCATCAACAAATCAAATTAAATAGTGTAATCACAGCGATTTACTGTGGTATGAGAGACAGAAAACACTTCAGTATATGCTGTCATAGGATAATAAACACTTTTTGGGTGATGGCATTAACTTTGCTTCATGTTGGGTCACTTCACATCACCCCAGTGTTGATTATTTTCTATAACTATGCCCTGAAATGTTTTATTTATTACATATCTAATATGGAGTCAAAGCAATCATTTAGAGGTGGAACAAGTAACCTTATAACCTTACATTGTTTTATATTTCAGTGTTACCGTCCTCGGTTTTAGAAATACATACGTTACCTATTATATCCTCTAGTGACTAAACAATATGCTTAAAATTGTATGTGAATCATGGAGTGAGTGATTTTTAAGTTTGGCAAAGTTATCCTAGTGTCTGTTCCATGCCAAAAAAAAAAGAGAGAGAAATAGCAAGGGCTGTGGACCACCATGATCAATCCAATCAGAAGAAGGAAGTCTCTCAGTTCAAATATATCTTTATCTTTCATTCACATATGCTTTGGTGTGTGGCTGTGTGTGCGGTGCATTTGCTTAAGTTTTGAGTTTTAAACTAGCTTTAGATAACTTTTGTCAAAGTCACTGACTGTGCCTTTAATCTACCAGCTACACTGAACACCCTTTGTAAAAACCTTAGAAATGTACACTAAGTAATAGTACATTCACAGTATGCATGATGAGTGTGTTTTAAGTGAGTGTTTGCTGTTTGCAGTCAGAGACGTATCAGGAGGACATCTACCCCATGACTCCAGGAACAGAACCTGCTCTTTCCGCTGATGAGTGGCTGAGTGGTGTTAATCGAGGTAAAGTTCTCACTAGCAGTTACAACTGCAAATATGTCTTAGTGCTCACTGTGCCATGCTGCACAGCTTCTTCTTAGTAACTGAGAACAATATAAAGCTGCAAAAAGTGAGTCAGACAATTCAGATTCATTCTCATTGTGTGTAACCTTTTGAAAAAAAAAGTGATCTGTCAGTATTAGCAGCATAAACTATTCTTTGCTTGCTCTGTATTTAGAAATAGACCAGTTTATCTAAAATGGCTTGTCCAGCTCTCTTAATTGGGTCAACACTTTTTAGATTTTTACTGAAATAGTTTATTTTCCAGTATGAAATATTCTATGCTTGGCTCAGTGTGTCTAATGAGAAAAAAATATATATATATATATATATTACAGATATTATTTTCAGGTCATTTTGATTATTTATATACACGGTTGAGTGCAAATTTTGCATCCCCTATGCTTTCTGGATCAAAAATATGTGCAAGAATAAAAAGCATACGTGCTCGTCGAACATCCAATTCCAGATTTAGTCCCCCTTTACTGGTGTAATAACCTCCGCTCTTCTAGGAAGGCTTTAAACTAGAATTTGTAACGTGGCTATGGTGATTTGTGCTCATTCAGCCACAAGAGCATTAGTGAGGTCAGACACCGATGTTTAGTGTGGAGGTCTAGGGTGCAGTCAGCGTTCCAGTTCATCCCAAAGGTGTTCAATGAGGTTGAGTTCTCGAGTTCTTCTACACCAACCTTGGTAAACCAATGACTTTATAAACCTTTGTGCACAGGGGTATTATCATGCTGGAACAGGCTTGGGCCTCTTAGTTCTAGTGAATGGAAATTGTAAAGCTACAGTTACAATTTTGTTCTTCCAACTTTGTGGCAAAAGTTTGGGGATTAACCAAATATTGATGGTCAGGTGTCCACAAACCTTTGACTATACAGTGTGTAGTGTATGATAAAAACAAACACTAAAGTTCTGAAGGAGATTTGAGGCATTTATAAAGGATAAAAGTGTGCAAATAAGTTATTAGAAAAAGTGTGTATCATGTTTAGAAAAGGAAATAATTGGAAATAAATACATTCATATAATTTTGGATTGTCCACTCAAAATATTATAGCATATAGCTGTATATCATTTGACCATTTGGGAACAAAACATTTGGGTATGCAAACTAATCTTTATGATGATCACCAAGTATGAGAAGGGGTTTATCTGTTTCCACAAATAGTTCTTAAATGACTAGTAACTGTTATAAAATCAATAGAGAGAGCCTCATATTATGGGACATCTATTGATAAGTAGTGAACAGAACATAACGGATAAATATGATGAGAATTGTGTTGTGTGTGTGTGTGTGTGTGTGTGTGTGTGTGTGTGTGTGTGTCTCTCTCTCTCTCTCTCTGCAGGGCCAGTGTTAATGTCTCTCAAGGAAGGCTACAGCAGACCCAGCAAGCTGGTGTTCAAGGCTCCGGTGAAGGAGAAGAAGAGTGTGGTGGTGAATGGGATTGACCTGCTGGAAAATGTGCCTCCCCGCACAGAGAATGAGGTGCCTGTGTCTTGCATGCATGAAATAATAGAACAAAAAGGATGGATTTTAATGTACTAAATCCCAGCATGTAAATACACAGTATGTGTTATGTAGACTTCAGTTTAAGCTGTGCAGATGCAAAGTTCAATCCTGAGCTCCTGAGCTCCAGGTGTTGTCTGTACAGCCTGTTAAATTTTCTCCCATTGTCCACTTGGGTTTTTTTCTGGTGTGTGAGGTGATTGCCATGTTTCCTTTTGCAACCTTGTGAGTCCATTGAAACCATACGACAGCTTCCCGATCCACCCATGAGAATGACTTTAATGATTTCTTCTTTTGTCAAAGGCATTCTTTATGGCTATCTGAAAAAGATAGATCATGATTATGGATCACATTCATAGTTAATAAGCTCATCATTGTGGTCATATCTTTAAATGTAAGTCTTTTGTATCTTTATTGTAGCTATTTTCACTGGGAAAGTAAATGTAACCTACAAAATTAGACCTTATAAACCACTGTCTTCACAGTTTCATATTCACCTTTTCATAGTTACCTTTAAAATATGAAAAACAATGGTACCAAGTGCATTCCCTTGAGGGATACCACCCCAGAGACAAGCAAGCAAGGCGACCATTTAGTCCTTTCTTTACGGGGAGTTTATATTTTCAAATGTATTTTTAAATTGAGTAAATTAAAGCAAATGTGCTGCTGTTTTATTTTTAATGGAATCGATTAATGAACACAATAGGTGCAGCTCAAAATGGGGATGTGCACATGCAGAGAGCCAGTTCAAACATGAACTCCTACAAAGTTATACAAACAAAGTTATACAAGCAATATTCAGCATTGTCATTAGGAAAACAATATGTAGTTTGGTAGTTTTAATCATGAAGATTTTTATTTTTATTTTTACTTTAATGCCTAAACATGCCTGTAGGTGGATTATCTATATTGATTTGCCCCTCATTGGGACTAAGTGTATGCAATCGACTGGTATATCTTCTTATGCCCATTGTATCTGGGACTCTGAATAGACCAGAAATCTGAATTGGATCAGCAGTTCTTGACAAAGCATGCCATAACCCCTGCCACAAACACCATTGCCCCTCCCCCACCCAACAACCACAACCTGTCCTGGGATTTTAACTCATAAACTTCCAGTTTCTGAGATGTTCATCTCTGAGCTACAAAGTAGGCTCTGTAGAACGTAGGCCAATTGTTCTATGTCTGTTGCATTATATTGGGTCAATATTTGTATATCATGTGTATATATATTCCTATCTTCAGCTCTTGCGGATGTTCTTCAGGCAGCAGGACGAGTTGCGGCGGCTGAAAGATGAGCTAGCGCAGAAGGACGTTAAAATACGACAACTCGAGCTGGAGCTGAACAACCTGAGAAACAGTCCGAATATCAACAGCAACAACAATAACAATAGCAGTGACAACAGCATGTGACCAGGGTCAAGCCCTTGTATAATAACTCCCAGTACTGCTGAACAACTTCCAGGATACCCCTCTCTTATATCCCACAAGGCCTAACCTTTGTCCCCACCAAGCAGTGTCTCTCTGATCCTAACTGTTGATGCCTTTAATGCTGTCAGACTCTACTGGGGCGTAAGTCGACCCCTTTATCACTAAAACCTCTCACACCTTATGGCCTGTGTTTACTGCTGCTTTCCCAGCAGTATCAGTATAGCTAAGGCTCACGTTCACAAGCAAACACAAAGATTTTTGGAAGAAAAGTAGTTAAAAGGGACAAGATATTCTTTAAGATTTCTTTCCTGGTATTTAACTCTCTAATTGTATTTTACTCATAGTCTCTCTGTCTTTC